CTCACTTTTGAAGCCCAAGTCTTCACTGTGACTTCTTCCTTGCAGCTGTGATGTTGTTCTTGCTACGAGATGCCTTTTCCATTCGCTTGAATTTCCTCGAAATCGGCGTTTTCGCCACGCTCATCTGTGCTGTCGATCCAGTCGCGGTACTGACCGTGTTCGAAGATATCCATGTGAATGAACTGCTGTATATATGTGTATTCGGAGAAAGTCTTTTGAATGATGCCGTCACTATAGTGAGTTTGGAGAATGTCTTGGATTTCTATTCCAGAGAATCGCGAAGATTGGTGTGACGCGAGATTAACTTGAGCCAGCTTAGTTCGGCATATAGATAATCAACGCTGGCTAAGATGGCAGTAGTCTACTCAAATTCTTTCATATATGATTGAAAAACTGATTACTTACCCTGTTTGGTTACTGACATGTACCGTTCATTGAAATCTCAAAGAATACTCAAAAAAGGGTGATTTTATCGGGCCTTAAAAATGATTGCTCGCGTAACATGGATGAGTGTAGAGATTTGCTTTTGTAGTATAGCCGATTCACCACACGCAGGGAATGGACGTTGAGTACACTGTTGGCGTCTTTCTGTTCGTCTGCAGTCTCTAACAAATACGTACTGCCTCAATTAACCCAAGGGCGTCCAGTCTCTGCGTGCGGAACTGCCTATATGCTAAAAATTTCGTCCTCGTCCCTCGATACTTTTCCGCTTATTTTATCCTCACGCTTGAATAGTGTAATATCAACAAAAATATATGGAAAACTACATGACTTCTTGTGCTAGAGCAAATTCAATCTTTCTGCCATTCGAGTTAGCAACTTGTCGCGAGCTTGGTTGATTTCTTTTGAGTCTGCTTTCCTCACTCTCATCTAGCTACCAAAGCTTGGAACAAATTGCTCGTGACATCGACCGCCTAATTTAGCGACAGGTTTCACCTAAAGAAAAGCATTGAGCATCTTTTGCTAGTAACTACAGGGATGAAAGCAGGGGGAGAATATGAGTGAGTGTCAGAGATCTAGCTTGTATTTTATGGTAGGTGCTATGGTGAGGTGAAGATCCATTTGTTGGAGAAATTCGATAGCATACATAAAGGTCGCGTCGTTTATATGATTTACTATGTTAGGCTTGGATCTTGTCCTTATCGCGTATATATCGGTTCGCTTCACAAGTACCCGCTATCAAGCTTTGGTCCACAATAACTCTTTTTAGAGCTGAGCATTGCGTGTGCAATAAATTGTATCACAACTTCAAATCTGACAATCCTATGCATACCGAAAAATACTGCAGCAATAACGAGAACC